GGCTTTGCTGGGGATATGTTATTTTGGTTTTTCATGTTATTTTTTTTTGTCTGTGATTTTGACATGTGAATTTCTTTTGTAGTTTCTGATTCTTGTGTGAGACTCAAGCCTTCAAGTTTAGGTCTGCTCCTTTTTTTGAACTTTATGTGTCTTTGTGGTTTACTTTTTTGGATGAAAAGCTGGTTCGTTTAAGCTTCTGGTTCTCTTTTGATTTTATATTGGAGTGGCCGGATTGCTTTTGTCTTCAGGAGTTCACACAGAGGCCCAAGTCAGATGAGGATCAGATGCTCTCAGGCTTTCTCCTAAGGTCTGGATCCCTCCAGGAAAGATTTTGGCCTCAAGAATTTGGGGGTTGGACTGGCTTGGGAGCCGGGCCCAGGAAAGATGCTGGTGTAGTGCAGCTGGTGGCCGTGCCACCCAGAGATGCAAAGGAAGATGGGGGTGGGAAGTGTCCCCAAGGACTCCTGGGGACTGCATCGAGAAACTGGGTTGGTCTGGATGCAAAGGATTAGGAAGAGGAAAGTCAGCCCTGCAGGAAAGAGGCTGGTGAGTCATGCAGGCTCAAGAAAGCAGAGGGAGGTGAGGGTCGGGCCAGGCCCAGAAGCAGTGCTCCTGGGGACCCGAGAAGGAACTGAGTTGGTCTGGATCCAAAGGATCAGGAAGCAGTGGTGGTTCCCCAGGTCTCTGGGGCGCCATGACAAGGAATGGGAGAAGACCCAGGCTAGGAGGAGAGACGGGGGTGGGGGGGGGATAGTGGAGATGGGAGGGTGAATGAGGCTCGGGGAGTCAAGGAGTGAAGGGTGTGATCGACTTACCCCAGAGAGAGGTCTGTGGGTCATGCAGGCCCAGGTAAGCAGAGCTCTTTTCTTTTTTGTATTCTCAAGTCTGTGTGTCTGTGTGTCTGTATGTATGCAGGTACACATGTGGAGGTGTATACATGCGTGTATGCATATGTGTATGTGTAGATCTGAGGTCAGCCGTGGGTATAGTTTCTCCAGAACCATCCACCTTGCTTGTTTTATTTTCCTTAAAAACTTTAAAAAATTTTATTCTTTATGTATATGAGTGTTTTGCTTGCACCCATACATGCAGTGCCTGTGGAGGCTAATAGAGGATGTCAGATGCCTCTGAACTGGAATTATAGATAGTTGTTAGCTACCGTTTGGGTGGTGGGAACTGAACCCAGATCCTCTGCAAGAGCAGCTATTATTCTTAACCCCTGGGCTATTGACGTGGAGCTCATCAATTAGGTTAGGCTGACTGACCAGCAAGTCCCAGGGATCCTCTGTTTCCACATCCCAGCACTGGGATTACTAGCCTGTGCCACCTGCCCCACCTTTTTCATGGGTGTTGGAGATTGAACTCAGGCCCTCATGCTTGCATGGCAAGCACTTTACCAACTGAGCCATCTTCCCAGCTCCTCATTGTATTCTTACAACTTAAAAGCCTACGAACCTATAGCAGGATCTGGAGATGTAGCTTAGCAATGAAGACTACCTATTGCTCTTGCTAAATATTGGAGTTCAGATCCCAACACCCACATCAGGCAGTTCACAAAGCCTGTAATTCCAGCTTCGGGAAATCTGACCCTCCTCTTTTGGCCTCTGAATTCAGATGTTCTTCTTTTGGAGACAAAGTCTTGCTGTGTGGGTAGCCCTGGTTGGGCTGGAACTTGCTTTGTAGTTTCTGGTAATAACCCTTACCATATGGACATACTCTTGTCAAATGCCTTTTATGTAACCTTGTAACCAAAAAGTTAATCTTATTTTAGTTCAGTTATAATGCCCCCCCCCCGTGAGCATTCCTGTCCCTTGACCCAGAATAATGAATGAATGAATGAATGTATGTGTGTGTGTATTACATATCAGTCTGCAATCAGTGCTTATCACTTTGAAAGCAATTAGAGATAATTCTATTTGTGTTACAAACACTAGATGGCATTGATAACATTTCTTTGTGGTTCTGTGTGCTATTTAGGTCAGTAGGAGTTAAAAGGGACTTTCCACTTTTACTTCCCCAATTCATGATAGATGTATAGTTTCAGTAAAAGAAAGAGCAAACCCTTGTTCCTGAGCATGGTTCCAAGAGTGATCTGAAGGAACAGATGCTCAGGGGCTAAGAGGAGTTCAGGTTCCTCCATGGCTGAAATGGTTGCTTAAGAGTCCGACTATCTTTATTCAAGCTTTGCATAATCTGGCATTGTATAGTAACTGCAGCTGCAGTCCAGGCTGGTAATCATCTGACTTCTCCCAAGTGCTAGGATTACAGGCATTTGCCACTGTGATCTACATTTTTCTCCTTAGTATGTAGAACAAATTTGAGTTGACCTAGAGAAGAGCTCAGTGAGCCAAGCCATTTATATGCTTTAAGTACTTTTGAGTTATTTAGCTCAGAGATGGAACTTCAATCTCTGGCTTCTAGATTAGGACTTTTCCTCTGTCAGGTCTCATACAGATGTAAGAACATTATATTTCTCTGTAATTAATTGTGTAATAAAATATTTTAACATTTTTCTATAGGTTTCCAAGCAGATGAAAGCTAATGCTATGGGATTGGTCAGAGCTCTTGAAAACATCTTTACTGAATGGAAAATAGTAAGAAGCTTTAAATTGTTTTTGTTTCGTTTTGATTAGTGTATTCTATCACACGTAGTTCAGTTGTGGATATTTTTCTTTCCTTTTTTGTCCTCAGCTGGAGACAGCTCCTCTGGGCATGTTAACTGAAGCAGGTGCACTTTTCTCTAGCCTCCCTCTTGGCAGTCTGAATGACTAGTTTAGTAGATCTAAGATTGCACAGAAACTTATTGATAATCATCAGTTTCTTGTAGTAACTGGCTCTGGAACTGCCATCTTTTGTTTGGGTAGTCATCGTGGGCTAAAAAATATATTTAACAATTAGTGTACTCAAACATTGTAAAAAATAGGTGAATTAAGCAAAGTAGTCTCACGTCACAAGCCTCATGTCATAGAAAAAGGTAGAGTTAAGTATGTAATCGGTGTATGGAAGAGGAGTAATGCCTATGGCTTAAATTTTATTTTAAAAAATGCTAAAATGTTGAATTTCTTAATAAATGTCAGTCTTTATAGTATTGGCTAGTGAATGAAATTGTTGCTTTATTCTTGTGTGCTAGGATAAGACTTTGATTTAAATTAATTTCTTATTTTAAGAAAATCATTGTCGGGGCTGGAAAAATGGCTCAGTGGTTAAGAACACTGGTTGTTCTTGCAAAAGACCTGGCTTCAAATCCCAGCACCCGCATAGCAGCTAACAACTGTTCATAACACACCTATATGCAGGCGTAACATTCATACACATTAAAATAAAAATAAATAAATAAAATTTAAAAAAAGAAAAAATCATTGTTAATATATTTTGATCTTTCTTATAGAAATGGAGTTATGAATTATGTGAAGAAACTAAACTTTTTCAGAGTAGTTTTATTGATATAGATTCACTGTACATAGTATAAGCTCTGCCTTAATGGTAAAATTCTGGGCTGTTAAATCATTACTGACTAAATTTACTGTCATGTAACCTATATGTTTTAAATATTAATTTTATTTATATAGCAAAGCTTCAGAACTCAAGTACAAGAAGAGTCTAGACACCAGGATTCCAGGAAGATGTTAATTCTTGCCTCAGAATTCTTGAAGTTGAAATATTGCTTAGAGAAAACCATTCAGATCATTACTTCTACACTGAGAGGTATGTGCTCCAAGTGGAATTATTAATCAGAGTTCTGTGATTCAGGGACTCAGACATGTTTCTCTTTCTTTCATAGCTTAAGCTATAACTGAAGCTCACCTAATGCTGCTTCAGTGTTATTAGTTACCAATATAGGAACTTGGGCTATTGAATGCCACATAATACACACTTCTGTGTAAGCACGTCTGCATGCACAATTAGAAAGGCCAAGTGCTTGCCCAGCAGCACTTTAGCCAAATAATCTTAAGTGTTTGGGATTGTTTTATAGGGTCACTTTGTACTTAAGAGAGAGCTCGAGTCATTAGCAGTAATAAATGCCTGATAACAATTGAAAGGTAATTTACTTTTCTCCTTCCCTTTGTATAGGGTGCCCCAGTGATGAACATCTTCTCAAAAGTTATACTGAAACTATCTGCAACTTGGCTAGCAAGGTCCACAGTGACTTCAGTGAGCCCTCTGCTTCTGCTGGCAGCTGTGAGAGTATACTCCCTCCTGTTAGTCTTGGGGAACTAGAATCTCTAGCTAAGTCACTTCTGTTATGCTTTGAATGTAGAGAGAGACCTAGTTTGTTGAATTGCTGGGAAACTTGTAATCAAAATATTGTGGTAGAGGAGGAACAGTCTCAGTTGAGCAAGACTGACTGCAGTAAAGGTGTGCCAAAACGTGTCTTTGGATTGCATGGAGGCATGTCCCCAACAATGTGTTCACAGGGACGCACCCCTGATAGGATTCAATGGGTGTGAATACCATTGCACAGGTACTTGGTGACCATCCATCACTAAAAAGAACACTTGACAGTTTTCTTTATGCAAGAGAACTTAAAATCAGTGTAAATATTTAGAGTCCATGTGTATTGATGGTCTCACATTGGGTGTGGACAGTATAAGCAGTGTGGAATCCTAGTTTCAAAATGCCCCAGGGTACTCTCGGAAGCTTCTGAGCAGCCAATTTTTAAACAAGGAATTTACCATGTTGGAACATTGTAGCATTAGAATGAAATTAAGAAAGCAGCCAAGCCAGGAGCTGTGTCTCTACTTTCTTGTTGCCTTGAGTTTTAAATGCTTTCCTTTAATACTGACTCACTGTCTCGACTTGGTTCATTCCTCTCTTTGTAGATGGTTGTTTTCTCATGAATGAAAATCTAAACAGTTATTTTGTGCCTGTGCCTTCTCTTTTCTGAGTATAGTATGCAGGATGAGGTTTATAGTAAAACTGCCAACAGTTTGACTAAGGCAGCTCACCTTGTGTTGCTAAATCTTAAACTCTGCCAAAGGGTTAACCAGTTTGCCATTTTGAATAATATACATGTTCAAGGTATCATTTATTTATTTCCAAACTAGAAGTAACTACTTGAAGATAATATAATTACATATTAACATGACCAGCTAGCATAATACTTTACTATGTAACCTGTGTTCCATAATGGGGACTATATTAATAAAATTTAAAACTAGTGAAATGTGGCCAGAACTATACTTGGAGATCAGAGGCTGGTCCTTTTCTTAACAGTGGCTTGTTTTACTAAAACATAATGAGTTTGTATATTGTCTGATGGGGATTAAAAATCCTTATTATATCTCACCCTTCATCTACAATCAGGTAATAAAGATAATGTTCCATTTGTAGGATCTTATTTAAGAAAATAGTTTAATTTTAATTTTTGACCTCAAGAATATGTGTAATTTGAAGATTCTTAACTTTGCCTGGGTAACTTGAGCCAATTCCTGGAGAATAATTCCTTTGAATAACCCAGTCCTTTCATTGACCCTGGGTACATTTGGGTAGCTAGGTCAGGTTGGCTGGGAGTACCTTGAATCAGCCTGATGATTTCCCTATAGGGAGAGATTGTAGATAAATATTCCGATGGTCATCCTAGCAGTGGTGATCCATGTGGTGTGTTTGCCTTGAAATGGTGCAGTATAGGAAATTTGTTTCCATTTCCTGTTTTATTTTTGGCATTTGAATTTGTTTTCTTTCTGAAGTTCAATATTTATTTTATCAGTCAATGCTCTGGGAAGTAGCACTTTTATTATCAAGTTGATGAACTGTAAATGTACATATGAGAACTTTTCCTGAAAGGTTGTACTTCCTTGAACTTCCTAAAGCTCCAGAGTGGTAGTTTTCACCTTGTTGTTCCGTATTTAATCTTCCTTTGTTTCTTCTCTCCCGCTCCCTTTTTTTGTTTTCTTTGAGACACAGTCCTGTTACATAGCCCAGTGTGGCCCAGAACTTGCCATCTTCCTGCCTCTGCCTCTGAGCGCTGGCGTCACAGGTGTGCATCACCACACCTAGCTAGTTTGTTTTCTAGACTCATGACTGTAACATCAAACTTTTTTAGTGTCCTTTTAAACTTATTTATATTTATGCTAAATAATTTGTTATACTGTATTTGAATAAGTGATGTAAAATATATTTGCTTTTAGAATCATGTGCACTGGAAAGTGTTATAGAGTGTCTTTAATAAATCCTGTGAGCTTCAGAATTGCCTCTTGGTCCAAAATTCTTTTTTTTTTAATTCTTTTATTTTTTATCTTTTAAAAAAATGTATTATTAAGAAAGTCATTTGAATCCAAAATGAAAAATATCCTTTAGACTCATGAGCCAAAGGAGACAAATCTTTCTATTGCAGGAACTGTATGTTCTGGAAAAGAAATTAGGACAGTATATCCTTCCAGCCCTTGATGGCCAAGGAGAAGAGAAACAAAGGAAAGCTGGACACAAGTCCACAGTCAGAGCTTCAGAATCTTGTAGTTATGTTTCTCTCTGATAATCTGGAATTTTTCATTCATGAAGAAAAGGTAGCAAAATCTGAGGGCACAAGTTTATCTGTATTATATAGATTATTATTACAGCAAACAGTTTTAATTTCATTTTTCTATTTAAAAGATTTTATTTATTATTTTTATTTTATGTGTATATGTGTATTGCCTGCATGTAGGTAAGTGCACCCGTGTTGTGCATTGCCTACGGAGGTCAGAAGAGGCTGTTGGATCCCCTGGGACTGGAGTTATGGACAGTTGTTAGCTGCCATGTGGGTGCTGGGATTCAAACCTGGGTCTTCTGCAAGAACAACTAGTATTCTTAACTGCTGAGCCATCTCTCCAGCCCAGAAAAATTCATTTTTAATGCAAATAACACTTAGATATTTTCACATGCGTCATAATCTCTGTATATCTGATTATTACTAGTCATAGTTGGTTACTTTCTGGGATCCTTGGCACCTGAGCATCGATAAATTCATCAGGTAGATTTCAATGGTAATGTTTTCATTCTTTTTATTTTTTTATGTGTATGGGTGTATTGCCTGCATGTATCTAAGTGCACCCATGTCATGCAATTCCCACGGAGGTCAGAAAAGGGCATCACGTCCCCTGGAACTGGAGTTACAGTTATTAGCCACCATGTGGGTGCTGGGAATCGAATCCCAGTCTTCTACAAGAGCAGGCAGTACTCTTAACTGCTTGTGCCATCAGAACCCCTGGTTCAAAATTCTTTATTGTGTTATTTTCACTTATTCTTAAATCAAATGTCCTAACCACCCTGACTTGATAATGGCAGCTATCCCAGTTTTTCAAATCAAAGAAGTAGGAAACACTAAACAAATACCGAAATTACTGTGGTAGCTACTTCGCTTTTCTTGCTTGCTCTGTCCGAGCTGTAGCCTACAGTCCTCCTCAGTTCTTTAACACTGCTCTGCCCTTCCAAGTTCACTATGTCTGGAATAGATTTTCCTGTTCTGTGGTGGAAAGAACATGAGCTTTGAATGGCCATGATCTTTACAATTTGGAGGGTATCGGGGTGCTAAGCAATTACACATCCTTAAACAAGGTGCTTACTCTTCTTAGCTTATCTGCAGAAGGAAAAGTGAGACCGCCCTGTGGACTATGTCCAATGAGCCTCAAATGAGGGAAATTAAGGAATAACATTTGGCAAGTAGGCAATAAATAAATTTCAGTCTGTCCTTCCTTCTGTTACTAGCCAACAAAGCCTTGTTATGTAAACAAGATCACACTTGGTGTGGGTACAGCACCAATGTACCAAGTGGTGTTGCCGTTCTCTAGGCATCACAAACTGACTTAAAGACGAGTGAATGATATCTCACTGAAGATACAGTGAGATGTAAATGCATCCTTCATTGGGTTCACCTGAAACTTTTAGCAAAGCTTGTTTTATCTTGGTAAATAACCAATACACTTGAATTTGCAGAGCCTAACTATGAGCCAACAATACTTTGGGAAGGAAAATTTGGAAAGGAAAAATTTATTTCTCACGGGTGAGAAGAGATATCAATAGTTTGGTTCAGTTTAAAGAAGGTTGAGCCCCTTGTGGTGGTACAAACCTGTAATCCCAGCTCCCAGGAGGCCGTGACATGAGTACTTCAGGTTCGAGGCCAGCCTGAGCTATATAGTGAGACTCTGTCTCAAAATAATGTGTCCAACTTCCTAACTTCCTAAGCATGATTGGTAATGGAAGTTTGTGCTCTAGATTTTTAAGTTATAGTCACTGAGTTTATAGACTGAGTTACTTAGTCAAAAATCTATGGTATTTTTAGATGTGAAGTACACTAATTTTATCATCTGATAGCTAGGTTTATTCATTCTAAGAATTATTTAATGCCAGGTCCATTTTTTATGTTAAATCTGAAAAAGTAGACTGTTTCATATTAGGGAATTTTGAGAGACACAACTTGCTGGATCTGCAGTTGTTCACAACATTACACACTTTCAACACAAGCAACTGCTGTACACTGATTCTGAGCCTTCAGGAGACCCACCAGAGCACTGCTATGTTCAGGACAGCTCAGGGAAAATGGTCTTCATTACGCAATGGCATTTGGAGGCTGTGATTTCCCAGTGCCCTCCCACTGGGGCATGTAACCCACTACCAGCTTTGGCCATGTGACTTGCTTTGGCTAAGAAGACAGTAACAGAAGCGAGGCAGTCTTGAGAAAGTCCTCTGAAGATGGCGCCAGCTAGCTCTTGTGTCACTGTCATGCCCATGAGACAACCACGGGCAGCTGGTTCTTAGAGCAGAGTGACAGGTAAGGAGTGTCATTCCCCATGGCCTGTCCTAGGTTGTCCTAACAGAGCATGGGCTGGAAAGCAGAGTTGCTGTGGTGGAACACTCTGCAGCTGATGGACCTGGGTGTTCACTCTTTCTTCATGAGAACATCCTTCTCAGTGTGCTGGATCGCTTTAGTGTCAACTTGATACACCTGGGTTGATGGAGTCTCAATTGGGGAATTGCCTCCACTGGACTGGCCCATGGCCATGTCCATGGGGTACCTTCTTGATTGTTGAGTGATGTGGGAGGGCCCAGCCCACTGTGGGTAGTGCCACCCCTGGGCAGGTGGGCCTGTGTTGCATAAGAAAGCAGGCTGAGCAGGGGCCAGGGAAGCAAGTCAGTAAGCAGTGATCCTCCATGGCCTGTGCTCCGGGCTCCTGCCTCCAGGTTCCTGCCCTAAGTTCCTACCTTGGGCTCCCTGATGAACTGTGACCTGGGAGTTGTAAGCTGAATAAACCCTTTCCTCCCCAAGTTGGTATTATTTTGTCACAGCAATGAAGAAACAAACTAGGACAATGCCTTTTGGTGTATGTATGTAGAGTTGTCGAAACTGCTCAGTAACTTAATGTGATAGTTTTAATTGTCAAGTCGACACAATCTAGAATCACCTGTGGGGAGAGGGGGTCTCAATGAGGGATTGTCTAGGTCAGGTAAGCCTGTGAGCATGTCTGAGAGGGGTTGTCTTGCTTACACTGATTGAGATGGTACCAGTTCCCTCTGTAGAGGATTCAGAATGGTGTGAGTGGAGAAGGCCAGCTGAGGGCAGGCATACATGTATGAATTCATCACTCTGTTTTTTTCAAAATAATTTATCATTTTAATTTTATGTGTATGAGTGTATTGCCTGCATAAGTGTGTGTGTGTGTGTGTGTGTGTGTGTGTGTATATATGTATATGTATGTGTGAGTGCCTAGGTATTTCTTATTTATCTTTGAAACAGTCTCACTGTAGCTCTGCGTTGGCCTGGAGCTTGCTATGTAGACCAGGCTGGCCTTGAACTCACAAAGATTTGCCTGCCTCTGTCTCCCAAGTGCTGGGATTAAAGGCATGCGCCATCACGCCTGGCTGCATGTATATTTAAGTGTACTTATGTCATACAATGCCTACGGAAGTCAGAAGAGGGCTCTGGATCCCCTGGAGCTGGAGTTACAGACAGTTGTTAGCCACCATGTGGGTGCTGGGAACCGAACCTAGTCCTCTGCAAGAGCAGCCAGTGCTCTTAACCACTGAGCCATCTCTCCAGCCCCTGCTCTCTGTTCTTGACTGTGGTTGTAGTGAGACTGGCTGCTTCAAGTTCCTGCTACCTCAAATTCCCCACAGTGATGGACTATAACCGGAAATTGTGAACTAAGTAAGCCCTTTCCCCCCAAGTTGCTCTTGACAGAATATTTTACCACAGCAACAGAAAAGGAACTAAGACACTTAAAAATTACTGAAATGGCCAGGCATGGTGGTGCGAGCCTTTAATCCCAGCACTCAGGAGGCAGAGGCAGGTGGATCTCTGTGAGTTCAAGGCCAGCCTGGTCTACATAGTGAGTTCCAGGACAGCTGGGTCTACAGGGAGACCCTTTTTTGTCTCAAAAAAAAAAAAAAAAAAAAAAAAAATTATTGAAATGATATTCTTGTGTAATTCCCTTTAGTAATTTTTTAAAGATTTTATTTTTATTTTATGTGTATGAGTATTTTGCCTACATATATATATAAGTACATTGTGATGTACTGGTGTTTACAGAAGCCAGAAGATGGCATCAGGTCCTCAAACCGGAGTTAAGGATGGGTGTTAGGTGCCTTGTGGATGCTGTGAATTGAACCTGGGTCCTCTGAAAGAGCAGCAAGTGTTCTTACCCATTGAGCCATCTCTCCATCCCATCCCTTTAGTAATTTTATTATGAAATAAATCATGTATCCACAAAGTAAAAGTATCCTCTGTTCCTGCTTTCATTCTAGCCCCAGGACATTTATTGTAGTCGCAGTCATTTCTCAGAAATGATTGAGTGCTGATCCTTCATGTGGACAGCTGCTGTCTTGCCTGCAAATATGGGACTTGGTACGTCAGAGGGAGCATGTCCTGGTGGGACCCAGGTTGCTTCTCTTTGTCCCTGTAAACTAAGCCGAACCCACTCTGAACTTGATCTTTTCTAGTTGGTGCCCTTGTTAGGGCCCTATTTCACCAGCACACTTCCCCCAGATGACCATTACAACAATCCATCATCCAGGTGAGTCGGGGCTTTCCTAATGTATTGCTCTTATACATCAATGTGGTGAGCAGCAGCTCCAGTAATCTATTAGTGTAATACCCCATCAGGGTGAGGTGTATTGATAGAACAAAGCTGGTCGATCTGTGAGTTGTGAATATCTAGGAGTTCAGGTCAAGAGAGTAATGCAGATCTCAGGCTGGATTGATGAGGC